TTTATGTGTTCTACTTATATTTTTCTTTTGGTCCGTCTTACACGGGACACTTTGTATATATTGAAATTTTGTAAAACCTATATATATATTTAACATATTTTATAGGTACAAGTAGATCCATACATCGAAGAATCGATATGCTCTGTGTGCATCGTACAGCAAGGACATTACTTCTGTCGTGATGTGGTACGAAAATAATTTTACAATTATCACTCACAATTTCATCTTATTCGGAACTTTAGGTTTTCATTCTCTTACGCAAGAAACTTCTCATCTATTTTAAAAATGATATAACTTTAAGTTTGTGATTCTTCAAATTAACAAATAATTATATTTAAAATAATTATATTTTTAGGCGTGTTTCCGATACTTCTGCCTTAGATGTTGGCAGTGGCAACATTCCGTGGACTCGATGTCGCATCATACACCTCTGACGCGAAACTCGAAGACGAATCAAGTGATAGGATTGAATCCGAACTTCGGAATGAACAACTGTCCCCGTATGTCGAGCACGACAATGATCTAAAGAGCAATATTTGAAGGGCAAAGAAGCTCGTATTTGCGCGCGCGGCCATAATTCAGTACTCGCTTTACGTTTGCGCCGTTGTACTCTATTTTTTGTTCCTTTTGACTTCTTCGGTATCGACATTGCGCCGCCTGATCTCGAACATTAGGCAACAGGGTGCAGACTAAGTTTTTATCGCAGAGCCGCGGACAGTTAGTCTGACGATATACGGGGATACATAGGGATTCAGTTTTCAGCTGCGAATGCAACGATTGGTTTGTATCGTTATCGTACGTGCGAGGAGACATGATGCGTATTGAAGTCGTGTTTGTCAGAAAGTTCCTATTGCGAACGCAGTTTTTACTACGTTCGAGCAAACAATACTTTTATTTAGTACGCTCACTTAGAAAGAAAAAGAAAAGGAAAGAGAGAAGTAGGTTCTCTCTTATCGATTTTTTTTTTTACCGCGGAATAATATATTGTGCCAACAGTATCCTAGATTATGCTATAATCGTGCATTAGGAGCAAAATGCCTTACAAGAATGCTTACGCATACATACACACATATGCGCGTGTTTACGCGCATATCGTCACAGCAGATTTACACGTACACACATACTTTTTCGTTAAAGTCGTGAGAGCTGAATTGTGGTTTTCACAGTGACAATAATTTTTTACGCGAGACGAGAAAGCTCCGTTATGGTAATTTGAGCTGGGCTCAATGAAACACGTAGGATCCTCAGGAAATTTATATAGCTTCATCATCATGCGTTTATCGTATGAATAAGAGAAAATATATATTACGCTTAATTTATGAATTGTTACGATAATGCTAGAAAGATCATTCTAGAACGGCGTCTGAGTAATTATGTGATAATTATTTGTCGTTATTACAATGCGCACACGTAATACATCCGAAGTTAATGTGATATAACGGGAGATTCTTTCCGATTTGTATATTGTACAACTCGCTGATCGTTCTTCCATTACGATACGGATTGTCAATGACGTTACACATTGTTAATTTTTACGTTAGATCACAATGTATCTCTTTACATCCGATTGCAGCATAAGCAGCCGCGATCGATTAGTTTCTAACCGAAGCGAACAGCTGCTGCAAATGTGTTTCGCTCACACGGACTGTTTAACGGTTGACGAAATGGAGAAGTACACGGTCTACGATTCTCTGGTGCGGATTGTAGGGAATTGATTCATTTTTATTTTTATCTTTTTTTTTTCTTTTTGTTATCATGTACGAACATGTTACATCTTTCCTTTAAGTAAGGCTTCATCCTTTACCACGCGTTTCTCCTGTTTTGATACGATTTTGTCGAATTAAAAATATTTTTGCAGATATATGTTCTATCTTTGTTTTTATTTTTACTTTTTTTCGCCATTCATTTCACCGTTGACTCACTCACTCACTCACTCACTCACTCACTCACTCACTCACTCACTCACTCATTCATTCATTCATTCATTCATTCATTCCTTCATTCACTCACTCACTCACTCACTCACTCACTCACTCACTCACTCACTCACTCACTCGCTCACCAATAACTCTTCCCGTCTCTTGTTGGTGTGTGAAACCAAAACGGTTGAATGCCTATTCATCCGTTGTTAGTTTTCATTATATGTTGATTTTCAAAATAACGTTTAGCTACTTTTAATATTACGCAGACACGCTTGTTCGTTTTAGCGATGAATAATATTGATATAATAATATAATAAGAATATTTTAACGTACTGAATTGCCAATGAAAATTAATAATCTCAGTAAGAATGGAGGATACAGCCGCGACTTATTCATAGCGAAAATATATCGCAAGAAGTCTAAGACTGTTCATTGGAGTGATAAAGATGAGTTTGCACGCAGCGGTTAAAAATATAAAGTAGCCAATATCCACCAAGTACGTGAGAAATACTTAGATCATACGCGATATATATTATATATCCCGTTAAGTATATCACATATATATGATTCACAGATGACGATAATAACGTGGTTGCTACATATATAAGCAATTTAAACAAAAAAGTGCTTTAAAACACATCGACAGAAAATAATATATATACACACGTGCTCGATCATCAAGCTTCACGGACATATTTCGGTGATATTTAATCTACATAAATCGCTCTACTCTTACGATGACAGTATCATCCACTTCAATAGAGCAGATTTTATCGTAAGCAATTTTAACGATCCTGATCTATACAACGCGTTGTTTGAGAGAGTTTCAATAAGTCGTGCCTTTTAAACGTAACATCCTCATAGATTTCCTCCAAAGTGGCGAACGTAAATTATTTTTTAATTGTTATTACAACGTAAAAAAACGAGCCCGAATCTTTGTGTAAGTGACAATTAATGTTGATACGCGTCTATGCCGATGCGAGTTTTCGAAATTTTGTGCTCGTTTAATTGAACGATCGATTCTAGTAGAACAATCGAGAGAGAGAGGGGAGAAAGTCGTAGAACGTGTCTCGTTCTGCTGGAATAAATTACTTAATTGAAATGAAGTATGCGTGTGAAACTTTGAAAACTTGTATAGGCGCGGATCCGTATTCAATTATCAATCGTGCTAAAATTGTGGGCCTTATTAGAGTCAATCAGGGAATTCGTGGGGCTGGAGTAAATGACAGATAATAGTTATATTTTCTAATGGACTGATAGGACTGATAGGGCTGAGTGTTTTTAATGATTTTATGATACCTAGCAAAGAAATAGAGTTATTGCTTTTGCCGATTTTCATAACGATTATTAATCCTCTGATTGAAAAATATTCTAGTACCGTGTTTATTCCTGCGTCACAATCGCCCTGATCGACGCGTAGCAGAATGATTTGTTATTATTATAAAAAACGAAGACTATTGTCAGTGCGCATAAACATTAAGCTTTTCAGGGATTTAGGTCGATCCAATCGCATCGTCGATCGGTTGTAACTAAAATTAGAGTTAGTACCGTTCAATCTCGAGTACAACCAGACCTCGATCGTAAGTCACGTTGCAATGACGTAGATTACATCGTGGATAGATTCGAAGTACTTCGTTTTACGTTCAGACGAGAAGTGCCTCTCCTATCTTTTAGCTTTTATTAATAACGTTTAAGAGTGAATTCGTAAAGACACGACGATACTTGTTAACGACGTACATATAAAATAAGAAGTTTTACGACACACTATCGCATGTTAACCTGACAACAGCCTAAAACCATTTAAATTAAAAAAATATCGACGAAGCTTCTGAATATAAAAAGGAAAATCAGACTTTATATCCAATTACTATAAACAAAAAACTGTATTTATTACTCACGTTCAGTCTTTAATGTAATCGTTTGATATTCAAGCTGCGATAGTATGTGCATGCGATATTTGTATCGGAAGAATTATATTCATTAAATATTAAAATAGAATCACATCTCTTTAATATTATCATTATGCGATAATTTAATTTTTTTCTATCATATAGAAAGTGTTTTGGCACTCCCGTCATTTTTTAATGGTTTTGATGGGTATTTGTTTAACCGATGTCTTAAGATATTTATGGTGTTATTTGATTTCAGAAATTAAACGAATTTTTTAATTTAAATTGATTTTTAATAGAAATAGAGTAATTTATCTTATTAACGAAAATACAGTAATCAAGATTAACATCCATACCTTCACTGAATTGCTATTATGTCATAAAAAATAATAAAATTTTTCAAAAATATATATATATAAAATAATACCATTAGTGTACCACAATAAATAATACAATACAGTTTAAAAATATATAACAATAATAACGATAATCCTATGCAGAAAATCATTATTCTCAATTTATAATATATTAATATTTTAACACCCATAGTAATAATATAATATTAAGTATTGTTATAATATATATATATATATATATATATATATATATATATATATATATATATATATACAGCTTATAATATTGAATGCAATACTGTAATATGTTTCAAGTATTTCAATATTATATAATATTAAATATATATAAATATATATTAAATATAATATTAAAATACTTGAAATATTTGTTTCTTTAAAATATTGTTTTAAAATATTGTTAAAATATTGTTTCTTTATATATAAAGCATGTATATATTTCTTTCTCTTTCATTGTATGTATCTTATTATTATATACACAGTATATAATAATACAAACCTCTTATTGTTTGTCAATTAAGGTAACAAAAAAATATACATATCGTTAGGAAAGTTTCTTTGCTTCTATGCGGTTTTTAAGAGCTTGATAAATCGCGATTAATGCAGACATTGTACCAAGTGCTCCTACATGCCAAGTCTGTAAGCATTCTCCCCAAAGTACACCTGTTGGTAAGTAATGAACTGCATAACCAAGATCCAGCAATAAGCGTGTACACGTTAATACTTCGAAATTACGTTTCCTGGTGACTTCTCTCAATTTCCTGTTGGGAAATTTGTTATAATAAATAAATATGTATCAATTTTGCCATGAATTATTTTCTAATATTATTGTCAATATATTGCATTTTACTTACAATCCGTCGGGTTGATAACTATTCTCCAAATTTATTTTGCATATTTGAAGATATCTAATTTTTCTCATTGTCCTATAGGAACAAACATTGATAAGAAATGTCTTACAAGTCATTAAAATCAAAAAGAAAAAAATATATCTATATTTTTTAAGTTCCCTGAGGATATATTGAAGAATATATTTACTTACTTTAATAATGATAGATGTATGCTTAGTATCCAGAATAAAGTTGTAGCTAAACTCCACTTATTGATATTGATTAAAACAATGTCACGTATACCAGCCCAATAAATATGTTCTATAGCACAATAGATTATGTCCACTGTATTTTGCAACACTTGAGCCCATCTGATTAAGCTATCAGGTTCCTATTGTTAGATCAAGCATAAAATTTTAAAAATAATTTTCAATATATATAATATACATAGTATTCCTCTTTTAAAGTACCTAATAATATTTAAGATTTCAGATATATATAGAATATTATTTTGTTTTATATTATTTACATATAATGATATACTCTACAGATGTCATTTTTTACCTCTTTTCCCCATCCATATTTTATAACGGAACGTAATGCAGAAAAGTCATCCAACAGGCGCAGTAACATTCTACCTTCACTCATTTCACTTCCAATATCTTTAAGTTTCTTTTGAGTACTCTTGGATGAAGTGCTTATAGTGAGAAGTTTTGCTGTATATGACAGGGTTTTTAACATTTTATCTCTGCCAGAATATGTGTCCAAATAATCTGCCATATGGATAACATATTTCATAGTCTCGTTCATATTTGAAGATGGTAAGGTTGCTTAAGATATCTAGAAATTTATAATATCAATTATATCAACTCTATTCAATTTACTACAACTTTAAGGTAAAAAAACTACAATAAATAACATTTATATATACATATATAAATACATATATAAATACATATGCAATAAACATTATATATTATATATATTATGTTACATAATATATTATGTTTTTAATTATTTATAAAGAGAGAAAAGGAATTTTCCTTTCAGATTTATCTTATTTAGCAATAATATTTATGGTTTCTGTAGCTAATTTTACATACCAAGAAAACACGCAGTTCTCCCTTTATGTAATAATGGAATGTATGTAAGATACTTAAATTGCTTAAATATTAGCATACTAGCCTAACCTAGTTTAATAATAATCTAAAACTATTGGAGCTCAGAACGAGTTACAAGAAGTCACAAAGGGTAAATTCCACTTGGCGATTATGTTTACGGCGAGTATCATCTTATCCTTGTTTCTCATTGAACGTTAAACAGAAACGGAATGATGTTATGCGTCGACGCGATCTCCAAGTGGAACATATCCAAAGTGATATTTCGCGGATCGCTTAGTGTCATCTAGCGATGCCTCGCTAGAACCGTCAATGACGATCGGATACACAAGAAAACAAATTACCAACCGCGATAATCGACGATTTATGCAGAGGGCGCGGCGCTGGACAAGTGAGGCTACGTTCGCTCGCGTGGGGCGACGCAATTTTGAGGTTATGTTGCTTCGCAAGTAATTCTGTTTTTCGACTGAAATTATCTGAAATTTCCACATACGGGCGGTTACGCGCGATATCATTGACGAAGAAGGATACAGCGATGTCGGAGTTGTTGGACATGCAAGAATTGAAGGAGCATGTTCGGGTGAATAGCAAGAGTGGCATCGTCACCTGCCTCTCCCAGCTCAGAAACGAGCCATTGCGTTGCAAAAATTTCATCAAACACGGAGGCCTTAATATTCTTGTGAATTTATTGCGCAATCCACACAGCACCATACTCAACATGTGCTTGAGCATTTTGGCAAATGCATGTATATCCTCAGATGCCAGGGAGAAGGTATATCCTTTTTTTATTTTTGTCCTAGCTGTCGATTATTTGCAACACGATTCAATTTATGCCAGGGTCGTAGTTAGCAGTTGTTTTCTTGGTACGTCAAATTAGCTACAGAAATCACAAATATTATTGCTAAATAAATCTGAAAGGAAAATTCTTTTTTCTCTTTTTATAACTAATTAAAAATTTTATATAACATAATATATATAATGTTTATTGTATATGTATTTATGTATGAGGGAACACAGATTTGTTTATTGTTAACGAATTCGATCGTTCGCATTATTAAGTATATATTAAATATTAAATATATATTAAATCCGTTCTACGTATATATATTAAAAATTGCTATACATAAAATTATATTGATAATAATATAAAAGAGAGAATATCTCTCTCTACAAAATATATTCAAGAATACAACATTTACAATACATATAACATTTACAATAAAATTAATTAATTTTGAAATAATTTTTAAGTAATAAATAATCGATTTTTATAAATTCCCAAATTAGATTAAATAGTCAATTTTCAAATAGCTCTTTTCTTTTTAAAAGCTTTTTCTTGATGAGTTTCAAGATATATATATATATATATATATACAGGGTGAGCCATTTTAATCGACGGATCCAAATTGCTCCTAAAATACGCCAGCTACAAAAAAATGGTTAAGACAAGAATTGTAGAGGACAATGGGGATCATTTTACCATGCTAATAATTTTGACTTTCAGATCGATTTTCAAGGTCATCCGAAGGTTAAAGTCATTTTTTAAAATTAGAACCCCTATTTTTGACACCGGATTCGAAAAGAGCAGAAAATTTTACGTTAAAAATGATATTTAAATTTTTTTTTCTGAGTCCAAGAAAGTCAAATAAAAAATGATTAAAAACAACTTAGAAGCTGTTAATGTTGGATACGTGAAAGATGTTGTTTTTGCTCAACGGACTACAACAAAGGAAGATATAATGGAACGAATTCGTAGAGCTTGCGCAGCCATTCCTAGAGACACTTTGCTTTCAACAGTGAGAAATTTTGAACGACGTTTAAATTTGTGCCTTGAAGCAAACGGAGGTAACTTTGAACAGTTACTCCGTGGGTAATTATGATAAATTGCAGTTATGGTGAGAGGCAAGGGGGCTCACGATAATCAAGCACCCCAGATGTGAGAGGCAAGGGGACTCACGATAATCAAGCACCCCAAAGGAAACAGAACTTACTACGTCCACGTCGTTGTTTCCGGGTAACGCTAAAAGTATTGAATTTAACATCTTCCAAGTTCTTGATTTGACCTTCTTGGACTCAGAAAAAAAATCTAAATATCATTTTTAACGTAAAATTTTCTGCTCTTTTCGAATCCGGTGTCAAAAATAGGGGTTCTAATTTTAAAAAATGACTTTAACCTTCGGATGACCTTGAAAATCGATCTGAAAGTCAAAATTATTAGCATGGTAAAATGATCCCCATTGTCCTCTACAATTCTTGTCTTAACCATTTTTTTGTAGCTGGCGTATTTTAGGAGCAATTTGGATCCGTCGATTAAAATGGCTCACCCTGTAT